AAAGTTAGCAGAATTTAGTTCTTTAAAATAGCCAATAGGCCATGTTAGTAAAATATATATTGAGGAAGCTCACTAAAATGCTATTCTTTCATTCTAACCTCAGCATTATAGTTGTGACAACCTTACAATAGAGTTCTTTTTGTAAACAAAGAGTCAGACCACTCTGGATGGAGTTCAAGATTTTACATGAATTCTAGTTCATGCAAATAGTCTTTTTATCAGTGACATATTCCAAGTTCATATCTCTCTTCCAAGAGATCTTCAAAACTCTCAAGAACAAAATGCTTTAAAAGATTAAAACAATTTACTATAATATTTTGGCTACATAAATGATATTGTAGGATCTTTTTCAGGAAGGCTTAAAGAACAGGAAAAATTGCCACTGTGAGATTTAAACATTATGATAAAAGCAGAAATGCTGTGGTTTGAATATGTTCCTTCCAAAATTCATGCTGAAATTTAATTCCCAATGCAATAATATTAAGGGGTGGGCCTTTAGAAGGCTATTAGGCACAAGGGCTTCACCTTCAAAGATGAGAGTAGAATCTACAAAAGGACTATGGGGAACTCAGTAGGCACCTTTATCTATTATGCCCTTCCATCCCTTCCATCAAGTGAGGATACATCACTCATCCTCTCTGGAGGACACAGCAACAACACATCATTCTGGAAACAGAGACCAGGCTCTCAGCAGACACCATACTCTCCAGCTCCCTAATTATACATTTCCCAGCATTTAGGGCTATAAGAAATAAATTTCTGTTTCTATAAGTTACCCAGTCTTGGGTACTTTGTGATAGCAGCACAAATGAACTAAGATACAAAACTCTGAAGAATGGCATGGAAAAAGAGACAGATGAAAGGGACTGTAAATGTATGAAGAAAGCATTGAATGGAACTAGACCAATTATTATCTCAGGCCAAGGATTAGCTTGAGAGGGTACTCAGGAGTGAGTCACTGTGACGTGCATTATCATATCATTACAAATGAATACACTGGCTATTTAAGGAGTTCAATTTTGTATACACTAATGAAAAAGAAAGAAAGGAAGAGGAAAAACACTGTTAGAGTTGCACTGTTAGAGTTTCAGCCTCCTTAATACAATCTATGTCTTAATCTTTGGAAAAATTTGAACACAATTCTTATTTATTATATTGTACATCTACTTGTTTTTCTCTCTGGAAATTTTCTCCAGCTTCTTTGACATTTATTAATATCAGATTCATGTAATTCATTTTTTAGTCTCATCTCAATTTGCTCTAGAGCCAATGCCCCTTCCCATTGCTCCATGCTGCCAAACACCATTTTCCTGAGGATATACTTCTCATTGTTTCCAGCTCCTCCCTTATTTATTGGAAATTACACTGGAATCAAATATTTTTGGAAACATGAACACATATATTTAAAAACTTCTGGTAAATTCCCATCCCTTCTCCCTATAAAGTGAGCAATGCTCATCAAAATTGTGTTTAAAGAAGATTTTCTCTGCAGGCAATGTAGAATTTTATATATGAGCCCTGCCATTTCTACTAATTCAGTGACAACATGTTATCAGGGTGGTTATTACTAATTCAACCAATTGTAAGCAAAGTAATTTTACTGTAGTGAATTCAGTAAAAATCACATTTTTAAATTTTTTTTTTTTTTCAGAGACAGAGAGTTCCCATTCACTGGTTAAATTCTCAAATACCCACAATGCCTGGGGCTAAGCCAGGTTGAAGCTGAGAACCAGGAATTCAGTCTGGATCTTTCACATAGGTGACAGGAACTCAACAACTTGATCCATCACATGGTGCCTCCTTGGTTCTGCATCAGCAGGAAGCAGGAGGCAGGAGCTGAAGCCAGGATAGGAACCTAGCACACTAATATGAACCACAGACATCTTAATCAGCATGTTAATCACTAAGCCAAATGCCTGCCCCAAGAAGATTTATTGAAAGACTATGGGGGCCGGCGCCGCGGCTCACTAGGCTAATCCTCCGCCTTGCGGCGCAGGCACACCGGGTTCTAGTCTCGGTTGGGGCGCCGGATTCAGTCCCGGTTACCCTCTTCCAGGCCAGCTCTCTGCTGTGGCCAGGGAGTGCAGTGGAGGATGGCCCAAGTCCTTGGGCCCTGCACCCCATGGGAGACCAGGAAAAGCACCTGGCTCCTGCCATCGGATCAGTGCAGTGTGCTGGGCGCAGCGCACCGGCCACGGCAGCCATTGGAGGGTGAACCAACGGCAAAGGAAGACCTTTCTCTCTGTCTCTCTCTCTCTCACTGTCCACTCTGCCTGTCAAAAAAAAAAAAGAAAGAAAGAAAGAAAGAAAGACTATGGGAAGCTCTGAAAATCAACAGCAATGCTGGAAAACCAAGTAGAGATTAAGCATTCAAGAGCTAATACATAAGAACAAAAGGAGGAGTCTTATGGAAAATGAGATCTTCTCAGAGTAACACTAGTGGAATAAACAGTCTACTACAACAGAGCCCACTCTCCCTGCCCCACAGCTAAAATTCAAATTCCAAAGAGGTTATTTGTCTGGCTCTGGGGAAAAAGACATCTGATTAACAGGCCCATTAAATACAGAGAGTGAAAAAGGAAATAATCAAGTTTGGAAAAGTCCACAACTCTTAGTGAAGTTCCTAGAGCTCAAAATGAAATGCCAGAAACCTAACACAGAAAATCAATTCTGTTTTGAAAACTGTCTGGGAATGATTTGCACAGCACTTACTCAGCTATATCTAGCAATCAGCTCCTGTCACTAAACCAAACAAGCACACAAACAAACCTCGGAAAACCCTGAGTGAGTTTACTTCAGAAGCTAACAAGGAAACAAATCAAAGCAACCAAAAAAATTTTGATCTTCCAGTGATCACCCTCATGTGGCAAACAAACAAATGAAAAGTAATAGCTCACATATATACTGCCTAATTATGTGTGTTTGGCTTAGATCTTTTGTATATATTCTCTCATTTAATTTTCACAAAATCCAGATGTAGGCATTTTCATCCCCCTCAGGTAGATCACATAACTTACCTAAAGACTCACTGCTGTAAAGCAGTCTGCACACAGAGCCTTCTCTCTGTATGAGGTAACCTGGACTCAATGAGACTCAGCCACATGGATTGAGTTTTACAGGAAGAAGTATAGGGTAGTGATTAGATCCTCAGGAGGAGCTTTTAAAAACTCAGTTCTGCCATTTACTAGCTAGCTGTGTGACTTCAAGAAAGAAACTTAAAATCCCCATGAGCCTCAATTTCCTCAGCTGTGAGATGGGGAAAGTAATTATCAGGGTCAGGATATGTGGTTGCAAGGTCCCACAGCTGCCACAAGGAAGAAATATAAAATGTGTATAAACCACTTAGCCTTGAGTGTCGGTCACACGGTAAGTGTTAAATGATTGACACCATTGTTCATTACATGTCTATCTCCTCTTGTAGACTAACCCTGGAAGTCCAGCTAACACGCTTGAGATGCATCCCTAGCACTTTTCTCAGTGACTGCCACATTAACAAGTCTGCTGAACAGAAAGTGCTTGTATCAGGTTTCATGCTGCCATATTATACTCTAGGGTGAGAATATCATTATAGCTGTAGCTCATCCAGTACCTTAAGCAAATGGTGCTTCTCCTCCGGTACCTACTTATCCTCCTCCCACACTGCCTCCAAAACTGTTTACTACATGAGATCAAGATCTGTTTCTCGGCTGGCGCCGCGGCTCACTAGGCTAATCCTCCGCCTTGCGGCGCCCTCCGGCATGCTGGGTTCTAGTCCCAGTAGGGGTGCCGGATTCTGTCCCGGTTGCCAGCTCTCTGCTGTGGCCCGGGAGTGCAGTGGAGGATGGCCCAAGTCCTTGGGCCCTGCACCCCATGGGAGACCAGGAGAAGTACCTGGCTCCTGCCTTCGGATCAGCGTGGTGCGCCGGCCGCGGCAGCCATTGGAGGGTGAACCAAAGGCAAAGGAAGACCTTTCTCTCTGTCTCTCTCTCTCACTGTCCACTCTGCCTGTCAAAAAAAAAAAAAAAAAAAAAAGATCTGCTTCTTTTTTGCTCTCCATGCATCCCCAGTACCTAGCACAGACCCCAGTACATATCTGTGGATGGAATTTTTAATAGACATTTGTCATATATCTTACAGTCCATGTAGCACTTTCACATAAACATGTTTAGCATCTCTGCAGAATAGATTAAAGATACGCTCTGGAGCCAGGCTGCCTGAGTTCCACCTCCAGCTCCACCATTTACTAGGGAGTGATCTTGGGTAATAAACAAGATTTCTATGCCTCAATTTCTTACTTGTAAAATGAGAATCATGGTTGTAAGTACTAAGTTGTTAATTCATGTAAACCTCATAAAACATTGCCTGGCCCATAGTAGGTGTTTTTTAAGTGTCATCAAATTTTATTCTTTTGTGGTTGTTTTCTCCCATCACACTGTCAGGAAAAATCACTCCATCTACACAAATCATTCTTCCTTTCATGTAAGAAAACATAAAAAGTGGCATTTTTGCTTCAAAATCCTAAAATTAATTTTCAGCAGAGAGCAATTCATGATCTGAACCTGATTTCTAAAGCAATTTTGAAAAAGAAATATATTTATAGGGCCTGTTCTTAAAATAAAATCCCTAAATGGTCCCAGATACTCTGTAGTTTAAGTCTTTTCCAAATTACTTGTGTTGGAACCTTCCCCAGAAACATTTGGCATTATTTTTCCCACAAACAAGAGCCATGTTGATGTGAACAGAAGTGCTCATGAGATTAGAAACACACACACACAAACACCAGGCAACGGAATTCCCACACGTGCCATCCTCTACTCTCACCACAAACCTGACTGCCCCATTCAGTAAAAAGTGTGTCCATCTCAAAGTACATCTTCCCACCCCTGAGAGCACAGACCTGGTGACCAGGCTGCACAAGACTTAAAATGCAAATCACTGTATTTAAGCACTGATGCTTCTCTACACAATGAAGAAATTAGGAGAAAAATGCAGGCAAAGGGACATCTGGGCATTTCTCCTACCTTCAGTACTGTAATGTTCCAAGCAAAGCTCTCAGTTGCTTTGTTGAGTTTTCTTCCTTTCAAGCCTTCTTTTGCCCCCAAATTATGAAGTTCTTCGTGGAACTCCATTCCTTTGAAAAAGAACATGTAAGCTATCTCAGTGTAAATTCCAGGAAAATGGGCATTTTGCTATGAAAATATTATCAGTAAACATTACTTCACATTCCTGTGCACTCTAATTTCTAAAGCCCTAAATTGAATTATCCTTTCCATTCTGTTCATTTCACTAAAAAGGGGAAAACTAACAATCTTCAATGCATTTGGTTAAATTACACTTGAGCAGCCATAGATAACGATGGGAGAAATTAAGAAGGAAATTCTTCTAACAAATTACTTCAACTTGTTTGTCCTGTTCTTGACTTTTGCATAGAATGGTCTGATGTTATGCGGGAATGGCAACCACAGGTGAGGAATGCATGCATCTTACTTTTCTTATGAACTACCCTCATAATTTAACAGCACACCCTGAAGCCCACAGAGATAACAATCACTAACTAGTACATGCTGACGAAAAATAAAAAGATGTTTTTAAAAATAGCATTCTGGAAACATCCAGGTGTTTAAGATTTAGGAATGAATGGCCTTCAGATATTTTTAGTTCAAACATTCACTCAAGCTTGAATACTACAAAAAAAAAAAAAAATCACCATCATCTGCCTTTCAAGCCTTTGAACCTTGAATTAGCACTTCAGGGATGGGGATCATGTTGTCTTATGGACAGTTCATTCCACCTTTGGAAATGTACTATTGATCTTGAGTCAAAAATCTTCCCTGGAACTTCTACTCTGTGCTGAATGGACCCAGATCTGCAAGGACCCAGATCTCTTTTCCACATTGCAGCCCTTTAGATATTTGAAGAAAGATAATGATTAAATCCCCTTGAGCCTCCTTTTTCCATATTAAATATTAGAGAATCGAAAATGAATCTTGATGTGAATGGAAGGGGAGAGAGAGTGGGAAAGGGGAGGGTTGCGGGTGGGAGGGACGTTATGGGGGGCGGGGGAAGCCATTGTAATCCATAAGCTGTACTTTGGAAATTTATATTCATTAAATAAAAGTTAAAAAAAAAGAAAAAAATTCTAACATGTGTCAGCCACTAATGATTGTTCTTTAACGATGGCATCCAGACAGGGCCACTGTATTGCCCAGTCACATTGAGTTGAACAGTGCAGATACATTCAGGAGCAGCATTTTCTGCAATTCCTATTCTATTGTTGTATTTTTATTAATGGAGCATAAACACCATAAACATAGCATATGGCAAGGAGCCTGACTGAGGAGCCCAGGCTGACATTCTGGCTCTGCCGTTTACTAGCTATGTGAGTCCCAGCAAGTCCTTGAAATTCTCTGGGCTTCAGTTTTTCACTAATGAAATACTGGAAACAACAAGTTTACCTCATTAGATTTCAATGAAGATTAAATGATCCAGCATATATAAAGCTCTCAGAGCAGTGCCTAGCATAGAAGTATTGAGTCTTGCTATCTTTGGGCTTTCTGTCAACTGAAATATCTAAATCTGCCATCTAGTCAGTTATGAATGCCATCTTTTTTTCAACTTTTATTTAATAAATATAAATTTCCAAAGTACAACTTTTGGATTATAGCGGCTTTCCTCCTCATAACCTCCCTCCCACCTGCAACATCCCATCTCCCACTCCCTCTCCCATCCTAGTCTTCATCATGATACATTTCCAATTATCTTTATATACCGAAGATCAACTTAGTATATACTAAGTAAATATTTCAACAGACTGCACCCACACAAACACACAACATATACAGTAGTGGTGTAGTAGTAGTTTTACCATTAATTCTCATAGTACAACACATTAAGGACAGAGGTCCTACGTGGGGAGCAGGTGCACAGTGACTCCGTTGTTAACAACTGACACTCTTATTTATGAAGTCAGTAATCACCCAAGGCTCTTGTCATGAGCTGCCAAAGCTATGGAAGCCTCTTGAGTTCACCAACTCCAATCTTATTTAGACAAGGCCATAGTCAAAGTGGAAGTTCTCTCCTCCCTTCAGAGGAAAGCCTCCCTTCTTTGATGGCCCGTTCTTTCCACTGGGATCTCACTTACAGAGATCTTGCATTTAGGTCATTTTTTTTGCCACAATATCTTTTCTTTCCATGAATGCCAAACTCTCATGGGCTTTTTAGCCATATCCGAATGCCTTAAGAGCTGATTCTGAGGCCAGAGTGCTGTTTAGGGCTTTTGCCATTCTATGAGTCTGGTGTGTATCCTGCTTCCCATGTTGGATTGTTGTATCCTTTTTAATTCTATCAATTATTTGCAGACACTAGTCTTTTTTATGTAATCCCTTTGACACTTAATCCTATCTTTTTGATCAATTATGAACTTAAACTGATCACTTTAACAAGTAAGATGGCACTGAATTGAAATCCCCTACCGTTTGGGAAGTCCAATTGAGCATGTGCCGAACTGTACATCTTCTCCCTCTCTTATTCCCACTCTTATATTTAACAGGGATAACTTTCAGTTTATTTTAAATGCCTAAAAATAATTATGTATTAATTAAAGAGTTTAACCAATGGTATTACGTTGAACAAAACAATAATAAAAGGCATATAATAGTAAGTTGTTCCTGGACAGGATAAGGGCTAATCAAGACATTGTTTCTCATAGTGTCCATTTCACTCCAACAGGTTTCCTTTTAGGTGCTTAGTTAGTTGTCACAGATCAGGGAGAATATATGATATTTGTCCCTTTGGGACTGGCTTCATTCTCTCAGCATGATGTTTTCCAGATTCCTCCATTTTGTTGCAAATGATTGGATTTCATTGTTTTTTACTGCTCTATAAAGTACATATCATCTTTAGACTGTGTTCTAGATTTAAAGGCCAGTTTCACCATGTGATGATACGGGATCTTTGATAATTCTCTCAGAATCTCAGATACCTCATCTACAAATTGGATATAAGGATGAGAACCTTGCATTGTTGTTATTACAATTAAGATAGTGTTTTTGCTCAGAACTGTGTATGTATATTTGTCAAGTAACTGTCATTGTTGTCATCTTACTCACCATTAATACTATTCTATGTGTGTGGATGTAGGAGCACATGGATTCAAGAGATAAAATCACAGGAGTGTATATTGATAAATGTTAATAAACAGAGGTGCTCTCATAGACATATAGCCATCCTTAAAGAAAGAATGAATCTAAAGTGAGGACGAGTAGATGGGACATCAACATAGAAGATTAATAAGATTATGGTTCAAACTGTTGCAATGGATTTTAAGGGGCCAAATAGAACCATAGCTTCCATATCAGTAGTAAAAGTTTTGATATGAATTCAGAAATCTTCATCCATCTAAATATCTTCAGATACCACTCACCAATATACACACATAGAACTTACCTATTAATCATCTGGATTTCCTCTGTACTAAACAAAGACTTAAGTGTAACTTAAAGTACAATAGAGGAACAGAACTTTTTTAAGACTGTCAAGAATTATCATTATAGTTTACAAACAAAATAGAAAAAAGTTATTACCTGCTTTCTGACATTGTACGATCTTTTCTTGGACTGTGTCTGCCATTTCTATGAGAAACCGGCTTTCTTGAATCATCTGTCACAAAATAAATATTGAAAAGGTAGTTGTCAAGCATTCTTAAACATTGAGACCCACATGATACTTTCAGAAATGGAGAGCAATGGCAGCAACTAAGAGATGGGAGAGGGAAGGAGAATCTGCGTTCCAACCCTCACCTGTTCTAACACCAAAGCTAGAATCACCTTCCTTATGATTGTTCCAGTTATGTAACATGCCTGGCATACAGTGAGTGTCAAATGACCAGTAAATAAATGTACTTGCATTCTTTAAGTCCCAGGGCATATTCTTGAACACCTCTCATTCCACCCCTTTTCCCTAAAGGTTGCTGCAATATCAAGGAAAGTGCTATTCGAATAATACTGAGAACCAGAATATGGATTCACCTAATGATGAGCAAAAGCACTACTGATTACATAAATGAAATTGGCACCTTGGATTTGGGTGGCTCCACTGGTAAGAATAAGAACTGGATCAGATTTCAAAGCAAGGAACTAAATTGAGCATGGAGACAGTAATACTGAAATGGTTATCTGTGTTCTCTACATTTAGGTAGAAAGTAAATATGTCTAAGAGGTAACCAACATACTAAATGAAGTAGGGAAATAAGACAACTTTGTGCTAATGGAGAAAAGAACCTGTATGTGAAGAAATGGAGAAGATAACAACTACATATTGTGATTTTTGATCAGAAAGATAGAGGATTGGGGCTCTTTGGAAATGCAGAAGTAACTAAACAAAGGCAAACAATAAACAAACTGAATTAACAGATCCTGAGTTTCCAGCCTCTCTTTTACTCTAAGTAATGGTCCCAATTCATCTGGTTATTCCATGTTAATCTGTCTGGATCAATGATCTGAAAGTTGTTCAAGGTAAAATCCAAAATGAACACAAAAGATCTTGAATAGGACATATTTCCCGCTCTCACAATGAATAAATGCTGTTTAACATATTATAGTCTTGTATAATCACTTTTAAAATACAAAGTGGGTGATGTCAACAAACATTTAACAGAAAAGACCTTTGAGTCAAAAATTTTAGTGCCTTAAAAACTAAGAGGAATAAAACATATTATTCACTTATTTAAGAAATATCAATTGTACAGTCACTATAATTATAAGGGATTCAAAACTGAGGATCAAGCACGGATGTGCCTATAGCTTCACAGAGCTTATGGTTCAGCAAGGACACCTACTCAAATGAATGCATAAAATATCATGATAATCAATTTAATCAAACAAAAATCAATTATTCATACCCTCTGCCTGAAATGGTTGAGTCTATTTGGAGGGCTAAATTGACTATGAAAATCTAAACTCTACACCTACAGAGATCTAGACTGAATAAAACTTTTAAACTGCAGTAAGTCTTTCAACTTCCAAGACGAAGCACAATGCCTATAAACAACAATTTTATCAGCCACATCAAGATGTGAAAATGACAGTATATCAACTATGATATATTCAATTACATTACAAGAGCATAAAGATTTATAACTAAAAATATTTTAAAATCCTATCCTAGTTTCTGTTTTCAATGTTTTCTTATGTATATATTGGATGTTAGTATGCATATAGAGTTTACGAATGAATAAATTCTCAAAATAAGAGTTACCTGTGCTGGGTATTCTGTTTGTCCCATCAGTTACACTCTTAAACATGCTCTGTGCTGAAGAGGTGGATCTTTATGGGCAACACCAACCAGAGTTCCTTGCCTTCTGACTTCTTATTGCAATCAGCCAGTGGGAAGCACCAGCAAGGGGCCAAGGGCAGCAGGCAGGAAAATAGTGGTTTGGGGTAGTTACTCCCTAGATAGTTCCTTCCCAGTTGGGCTATGGTTTGATGACTTCTACTTTGCAAGGGGCCACAGTCCTCATAGGTGGCAGGTATAGATATTACTGAGTGCCAGTAATGGCTCCTTCCCTCACCCTTTTAGGCCTGATGACAGCTTTCTACCATCATTGCTAATTCTTTTTTTTTAACTTTTATTTAATGAATATAATATTCCAAAGTACGATTTATGGATTACAATGGCTTCCCCCCATACCGTCCCTCCCACCCACAACCCTCCCCTTTCCCACTCCCTCTCCCCTTCCATTCACATCAAGATTCATTTTCGATTATCTTAATATACAGAAGATCAGCTTAGTATACATTAAGTAAGGATTTCAACAGTTTGCTCCCACACAGAAACATAAAGTGAAAAATAATAGATGATTTTTTTAAAATGATGATGAAATCAGATCAGACCTATTGTCATGTTTAATCCCAGTGAGAGTCAAGTTGGGAGTTGACAATTTCTTTTTTTTTTTTTTTACAGAGGATCAGTTTAGTATGCATTAAGTAAAGATTTCAACAGTTTGCATCCCCATAGAAACACAAAATGAAATATATTGTTTGAGTACTCGTTATAGCATTAAATCTCAATGCACAGCACATTAAGGACAGAGATCCTACATGAGGAGTAAGTGCACAGTGACTGCTGTTGTTGACTTTACCAATTGACACTCCTGTCTATGGCATCAGTAATCTCCCTATGCTCCAGTCATGAGTTTCCAAGGCTATGGAAGCCCTCTGAGTTCTCCGATTCTTATCTTGTTTAGACAAGGTCATAGTCAAAGTGGAGGTTCTCTCCTCCCTTCAGAGAAAGGTACCTCCTTCTTTGAAGACCTGTTATTTCCACTGGGATCTCACTCACAGAGATCTTTTGCCAGAGTGTCTTGGCTTTCCATGCCTGAAATACTCTCATGGGCTTTTCAGCCAGATCCGAATGCCTTTAGAGCTGATTCTGAGGCCAGAGTGCTATTTAGGACATCTGCCATTCTATGAGTCTGCTGAGTATCTCACTTCCCATGTTGGATCACTCTCCCCTTTGTTTATTCTATCGGTTAGTGTTAGCAGGTACTAGACTTGTTTATGTGCTCCCTTTGACTCTTAGTCCTTTCATTATGATCAATTGTGAACTGAAATTGATCACTTGGACTAGTGAGATGGCATTGGTACATGCCACCTTGATGGGATTGAATTGGAATCCCCTGGTATGTTTTCCTAACTCTACTGTTTGGGGCAAGTCAGCTTGAGCATGTCCCAAATTATACCTCTCTTCCCTCTCTTATTCCCACTCTTATGTTTAACAGGGATCACATTTCAGTTAATTTTCAACACTTAAGAATAACTGTGTATTAATTACAGAATTAAACCAGTCATATTAAGTAGAACAGACAAAAAAACTACTAAGAGGGATAATCATTGCTAATTCTTGAACGCTCACTATCCACTCTTGGCCCTCTAACCCTGGCCCATATCTTTATAAATAGCTTCTTCGTTTACTCTCTTAATCATCTTCTTGAATATGCTATTTGTTGAAAGCCTTATTCAGAGCTTAATTTAAATACCTCAGAATAATTGTGTGTTAATTAAAGAGTTCAACCCATAGTATTAAGTAGAAAAAAAAATACTAAAAGGGATAAAGTAATAAGTTGTTCATCAATAATCAGTACATGGGCTGATCAAGTCATTGTTTCTCATAGTGTCCATTTCACTTCAACAGGTTTCCTTGTAGGTGCTCAGTTAGTTGTCACTGATCAGGGAGAATATATGATATTTGTCCCTTTGGGACTGGCTTAATTCACTCAGCATGATGTTTTCCAGATTCCTCCATTTTGTTGCAAATGATCGGGTTTCATTGTTTTTGACTGCTGTATAGTATTCGATAGAGTACATGTCCCATAATTTCTTTATCCAGTCTTCTGTTGATGGGCATTTAGGTTGATTCCAGGTCTTAGCTATTGTGAATTGAGCTGCAATAAACATTAATGTGCAGACAGCTTGTTTGTTTGCCAATTTCGTTTCCTTTGGGTAAATTCCAAGGAGTGGAATGGCTGGGTTGTATGGTAGGGTTATATTCAGGTTTCTGAGGAATCTCCAGACTGACTTCCATAGTGGCTTGACCAGTTTGCATTCCCACCAACAGTGGGTCAGTGTCCCTTTTTCCCCACATCCTCTCCAGCATCTGTTGTTGGTAGATTTCTGTATGTGAGCCATTCTAACTGGGGTGAGGTGAAACATCATTGTGGTTTTGATTTGCATTTCCCTAATCGCTAGTGATCCTGAACATTTTTTCTTGTGCCTATTGGCCATTTGGACTTCCTCTTTTGAAAAATGTCTATTGAGGTCATTGGCCCATCTTTTAAGTGGGTTTAAATTTAACTGAAAAGTGATCCCTGTTAAATATAAGAGTGGAAATAAGAGAGGTAGGAGATGTATAGTTTGGGACATGCTCAATCAGACTTGCCCCAAATGGTAGAGTTAGAAACATGCCAGAGGATTCCAATTCAATCCCATCAAGGTGGCATGTACCAATGCCATCTCACTAGTCCAAGTGATCAATTTCAGTTCACAATTGATCATAATGAAAGGACTAAGAGTCAAAGGGATCACATCAACAAGGATAGTGTCTGCTAATACTGCTAGAATTAAAAAGGAGAGAACAATCCAACATGGGAAACGAGATACACAGCAGACCCTTAGAATGGCAGATGTCCTAAACAGCACTCTGGCCTCAGAATCAGCCCTTAAGGCATTCGGATCTGGCTGAAGAGCCCATGAGATTATTTTAGGCATGGAAAGCCAAGACACTCTGGCAAAAAAAAACAAAACATACTAAAAAAGAAAACAAACCACCTAAATGAAAGATCTCTGTGAGTGACATCCCAGTGGAAAGAACGGGCCATCAAAGAAGGAGGTACCTTTCTCTGAAGGGAGGAGAGAACTTACACTTTGATTATGACCTTGTCTAAATAAGATTGGAGTTGGCAAACTCAAAAGGCTTCCATAGCCTTGGCAACTCATGACAAGAGCCTAGGGAGATTACTGATGCCATAAATAAGAGTGTCAATTGTTAAGTCAACAACAGGAGTCACTGTGCACTTATTCCCCATGTAGCATCTCTGTCCTTAATGTGTTGTACTATGAGAATTAATGGTAAAACTAGTACTCAAACAGTACTTTACACTTTGT